AAAGGACAAAAAAATAAAAAATTGTTACTATTGAGGTTGCTTAAATACATGACGTGATGATGATACATCAAAGAGGGAAAATTTGTAGAGAAAAATAGTTTGTAGCATTGCATGCTCTAAACTAAATTAGGGAAGTTACTCAAAATTATGAATAAATGTATCTAGGGAATAAACAACATAGTGTCCACATTTGATAATTCAAATTCGAACATTTTTTTGAAATAAAAAGAATTTTTGAGCAAATTAAAGTCATATAATATATTTTGAGTTTATTTCACGTTCTGTTTTATAGACTATAATGGTATTTTCAAGGTCCTATACATAATGTATGTACGGTTTTAAACCAAACAAAACTTAACATTTTGATTTTTATTTAAAAAAAAAAACCAAACAAAACTTAACATACTTTTACTCAAATTTTAGGAATTCTAATTCCTTGAAAAAAAAAAATTCAACTAACCAAATACCGTGTTTGATTTTAGAAAGTGTTTCATATTTTAATTTTATATTTAACTTTTTGAATACAATTTTATATTTCACTTAAACCAAAAAAAAAAAAAAAAGAAAAAAAAAAGAAACATTTCATTTTTAGAATAAAAATTGAAAAAGTCATAAACTAAAAAGTTAAAAAGTTAGTTAAATGTTCTCCCAACTATAGTGATCTCATTAGTTATCTAATATAGGTTAGTTGTCAACATTCAACAACTTTTGTTTGCATTCTAATTATGTCTTTTTCTCAGTTTCTCTAATGTTTAAGGCTCCACTTGAAAACACGTTCACACACCAAAAAAAAAAAATTATAAAAATTGATTGTATGGAAATGATTTAATTTCTATAAAAAATATTTTCATTTTTTTAGTGTCTGCATGAAAGTTAAAAAGTAGTCTCTCTTCTTTTTATTATTATTATTATTATTATTATTATTATTATTATTATTATTATTATTATTATGAGTTGCACTTTTTTTTCGTTCAGTGGCCTAATTGCATTTTCAGGTTACGTTCAGTGGCCAATTTGAACCTTATTCCTTACTAATATTATATTAAAAAGAGGTAAATAAATAATTTTTAATTTATAACTTATTATAATAAAATAATACATAAATTGATAAATATAATAATTCTGAACTAAAGAAATTGAAGAAAAGATTTTACCATTTTTTTTGGATGTAGGCCGGGCCAAGATTTTGTTGTTTGGCTTGGTCTAGTGCAACTCATATTGAATAAGACATTCATATTGATACAAATATAATAAAGTTAAATTAAAAATTGAAGAAATAACTTATTTAACTAGTTTCTATTTTTATTTTTTGTGTTGTGGCTGGGATATACCAAGATTTGTATTGTTTGATTTAGTGCAACCAATTCAATAGTTTAATCGGCTACGGATAAATGTAATAAATCAAAAATTTTAAATTGAAGAAAACACTTAATTATTATTTTAATCTTTTGGGCTATGGACGGTGCCATGCTAAAATTATTATCATTACGCCTAGTTTGACGGCAATTTATATCCTACACCACGGCGCGTGTTGCATTGTGTGTCCAGATGCAAAACGATGTTGGTTTAATTTTTTTTTTTTTTTTGAAATTTCCCGCTCCAGTGTTTGGCAGCTAATTTTTCTTTAAAAAAAACCCATGTTCAAAAATGTACATAATATTATACATGAATGTACATAAGTGTATACATGAATGTACATAATTGTATAACAAAATATACATACTGTTTTTAAAAGATAATACACATAATCTAACATAATACATAATAAACATAAACTTTTAACCTAATACACATCAACTCTTAACATAATACACAAAAATTTCCTGATTCGGATGTACATAATTGTATAAAAAAAGTGTATATAATTGTATAAAAAATATACATAATTGTATGAACAAATATACATAATCACAGCAACTTCCTACCGCGCCTCCCAAAACGACGTCGTTTTGGGAGGCGCGCGGCGCACAGTGCTACGCGCGCCGTGGTGTAGGGTATAACGATTGCTAGTTTGACTGTACTCATATTTTAACTAGATTAGCTTAGTCCAGTTCAAATAATAGCAGACATATGGTAGGCTAACCCGTCTATATGACATCACTTAGCGGGAGAGACAGAAAACTAAACTTGAAATAAAAATTTTAAAAATGTCTTCTTAGTAAAAATTTTGAAAGACATCTTCTATTATAATAATGAATATTTTACACTGATAAATTGAAAAAATGACTAAGTTGAATTTTCAAATCAACTAAATGTTGGAGTGGTACTCAAAATAAAAATAAAAATTGACCTTCTTGCTAGGGGTGCCATTTCTAAGACAGATCGTATCGAATGGATATTGTTCTATTCCCTACTTTGTGTTGATGTACGGTTGCTGATAATGCCTTGTCTGGTTTAATGACATTTCTGATTTTTATCAAAAAAAAAAAAAAAACAAAATGTTGGAGTAGGGCCCACCCTGTCACCTTTCTACCTGCATTGAAAAATACTTAGTAAACTCCCATTTTATACTCTCAAATTTTACTCACTCTCACATGTTCTTGATCGATGTAGAAACTTTCTTGTAGATCCATATGACGAAAATAACCAATCATTGTTTGTCATTTCAAGGAGTAAAATTAAATGAATAGAATTTAAGAATATGCATAGTAGAATATATTTACGGGTACGGTATTAAAATATTGAGACTCCCAGTTGAATAGGTCCTGTTTGGTGGATAATTTGGTTTACTAGTATATATATATATACTAGTTTTTTACTCGCATTGCGCGATTGAGATAATGCCCAATATTTTTTTAAATAAGTATTTTATAGTATATCAATGCAAGATTATATTGGAATTGTTCATGCATAGATAATTGAATGTTAAATTTGTGTATTTAAATAGGCAATTCTAAGTTTACAAATGCAAGATAATATAGTCAAGATTGATTATAGTTGTCAATAAAATAATTGTATAGGTATGGTTGAAACCAAATACAAGACATAAGGGAGAGAAAATAAAAATTAGGGCATAAATTATTAAATACTTCGTATATACTAATATTGAAGAGCTAACTACTGATTGCTAAACAAGGACATTGCGAGATAGTTTCCCACTTCAATTTGTTGTGTGATTTGAATACTCTTTTTGTCAATAAATCTCCCAAGTAGTTAATATGATTGACTTAATTATATTTTTTATTTTTTTTATTTTTTAAAACTATTATTATTATTATTATTATTATTATTATTATTATTATTATTATTATTATTATTATTATTATTATTATTATTATTATTATTATTATTATTATTATTATTATTATTATTATTATATCATCATCATACCCTTAGGTCATTTTACATGTTAATCTAAACAACTAATTTTTTCAAATATCTTTTTACCAATCATTGATATAATTCGTTGGTCAAATTCGCTAATATAATCCGTTAACGCTAACCGCTAACTGCTGATTGTCAAACAAGGATATTGCGAAGTTGTTCTCACTTCAATTTGTTGTGTGATTTGAATAGTCTCTTTGTCAACAAATCCTTCAAGTAATTAATATGATTAGCTTTATTAATTATATTTTTTTAATTTTTTCATGGTATTAATAAAATACTTGGTAAATAAATATATAGCATTATTTTGTATTATAACTTTCATATTTAATTAAAAAAAAATAGTGCACAAAAAAAGGTAATAGACAATTGTGAATATAATCAATTGATGAATTTGAATGTAAAGAATTTTTACATTGGAGAAATATAAAGACAATATAACTAATAAAATTATTTCTCTTAATTAATTTATTAATAATGAATTATTTTTTTAATAAAGACATTGTAGGGACAATGTAGCAAATATAATCAATTGATGAATTTGAATATAAAGAATTTTTATATTGGAGAAAAATAAATACAATATAACTAATGAAATTATTTCTCTTATTATTTTTTTTTTTTGAATGCTACTAGCTCTATTACATTGTAGTATCTGTTCATATACTTTCTCAACCTACTGAAACACAAAGAGCTAATAACGCCTCCACTGAGGCTCGAACTTACACAACCTTCCAAATGGAAGTCCAACCCGGGTACCATTGGACCACATAGTCCTGGTATTTCTCTTATTTAATTTATTGATAATGAATATTTTTTTTTGAATAAAGGCATTGTAGACAGATAATTCTAAATTAAAAAATGACATGTATTATTTTTTGTTGTAGCTACTAAATTATTATTTTTAATTAATTTAATAAGAGTAAAATAGAGTACTAATTATGCCAACTTTGATTGGGATGCGAAGACCTTTAAATTCTTATTAAAATCAATGAGTAAGTTAACTGTGAACTAACAGAAATTAACGGAAAAGATAATATTTAACGGAAAAGTTAACGGAAAATCACATTCATTAAGTATAAATTAGAAATCTTAAGGAAAAATTAAAATCTGATCAATTTGAGCCCTTCATTTGATTAAAAAATTTGACCGCCATTTTTTCTACCAATTATAGGCCTAACTCTCTTGGGCTCTTATTAGTATAGTAGATATATATATATATATATATATATATATATATATATATATATATATATATACACTCCATATAGGCAAGTTATTTTTGTGTGGGTGTGTGTTTTTTTTTTTTTTTTTTTTTGCTTTTGTTTATTATTATAAGGATTAAAATTTTTTCGACATCTCATGTGACAATTATAAAATTCTTTTTATTCATAAATTACTATTACAATTTATGTTTATTAGTCGAATACATTGTTCCCAATCCCCCAATACTCTCGGCCCGACAATGCTAGACCTCTGCATATTGCAAATTCCCACCTAGAAATGTTGCTCCCACACTACAGTTGGTAAATTTCAGTCATTGTTCATAAACTTTACTCATATGACCAACTTAACTTTCCATGCGAGCTTATTAGTCAAATACAAACCATATACATCAATGGTTAAAAATATTAAATTGGTCTAAAATTTTGGTTCTTAAAGCTTGATCCTTAGTTCTAAAATTGGACGACATGATCGATCTCTTGGTTCTTCCCTTGCACTGAGCTTCTCTGCTGCTCCACTCGTCGGAAATGGGTTGACAACTGCTGCAGATCAATGATCGGTCCACTCCTTGGAGATGACTTCAAACATTTTTTGCTGTAATTCATAGAATTGTTTGATTTTTTGCTGTCAGGACGATGATCTGCTCTGGTCTGGGTAGCAGAGAGATGAGAGAAAGCACTGCCGGAATTCTCCCCGCCGGAAAGTTCTTGATGAACCGGTGACAACATTTCTACGAGGTTGCCGGCGGCGGGGAGGGCATCATAGAATGACAACATACTATGCCAATCTTTACTTGTCTTGTTCTCCTGTTCTTGGCAAAAGCTGAGATTTCCAGGAAGTGTTTCAGGAATAAGGAATGGGGATGCCCCTTGTGAAGCCATTTCCAATAATAAGCTTGCATCTGCAATATATGTGTATCATTAAAACTTTTAGGGGCGTTTGATTCACTTAATTACCTTATAGTCTGTTTGGTTGGGGTAAATTAGAATTAAATTTTACTCATTTAATTTAATTTCAACCTAATTCTGAAGGTGAGCATATTCCCTCAATTGTATGGAATTAGAATCCCTTGCCCAAGTATGAGTGTACACAATTTTCTACATGAGTATATACAATATATTCTTAAGTATCCATGAATGACGGTGAAAGTTTACCAAATAAATCTATTTTACAATAAGTGAATATATGTATATATGTATGTATGTATGTGATGGATATATTGGACCCGGAACGAACCGACCTGGAAGAGACGGACCCGAGAAGCCCCTCGGCCCAGTCAAGTGGGCCTTGGCCGAGTCGGCCCAAGGCATCTCGGCCTTGGGCCGAGTCCAGCCACGGGTGGGCTCGGTACACCCGAGCCCACCACCATGGACCCGGGCACTACCGGGCGAGTCCATGGTGGACCCGTGGACTCGGCTAGGCCGAGCTCGGCAGCTCGGCCATGCCGAGTTGCCCGCCTTGGACCCGGTCTCGGGAGGATGCGGTCAAGGCGGGCCGATCCAACTAACCCCGATTCTAGGGGTACGGTTGGGGAGTTTGAGCTGATATAAAAGGACTCCCTCTTGTCCTAACAAGGGACCTGATCATTACACAACACAACAAATTCCTAAATTGTTATCTTCTAGCCTTATTGTCCTAATCAAGCCTTGTAATAGCTTATTAGTGATAATTAATACAATATACGGTCCCTGCGACCTACGGTCCCCGTGACCTACGGTCCCCGCGACCTACGGTCCCCGCGACCTACGGTCCCCGCGACCTTATTATATCTCTGCATCGTACTATTTATTTCGTACGTATACTTATCCGGGTTTAATAATTCGGGCTACCCCCGGAGAATTAAATCCATCAGTATGTATGTGTGTATATACACACACAGACTATATATATATACATATACGCCCACACACACACACAAATATGTGTGTGTGTGAATCTATTAACTAGAGTGTGCAATTTGCCTAACATTAGTCCACACGATATAGTGTGTGCATTCATGTAATAGATTGTATGTATTCATGTTGTGTTTCACCGTCTCACGTGAAGATGTTGTCTAACTGGAATATTAGCCTATACACACATACAGACACAATATTTATATAACGCAAATAGGGATTTAAATATAAACAAAGGGATTCAAAATTTTCAAAATATAATCCCACTGCACGTACTAAAGAAAAGGAGAAGAAACGACGTATATCCAAGTCATGCGGTATCTACACTGTTCTTAAAACCAATTCGCTATCCCAGAAAGTGTTAGGACTATTGTAGTGTCATTCTCACAGGATAAAATGGATCAATGATACTATAGTTTGAGCACTCAAACTATAGACTTTCAGCGAACTAAAACAACAGACTTGAACACAAGCTTTTGGGAATGAATGGGCTGAGTTTTGGGAAAAAGACAACGTAAGGGACTAGGAGTAGAGAGAAAAATGAATTTTGTGACTTTAAAAATTTGCCCAAACAGCTTGGTATATATAGTGGATGATTTAAATCTTAGCCTTCTTGACATAATAAATCCAAATAATAATTGAATTATGGATTATAACGTTTGAAACGGTCCTACTTATTATCAAAATAATATTTACGATTATAAATTAATATACAATTAATTCGTACCGATTATCAATAACCTGTTTCAAAATACCTAAGTGATCCATAAGTCTATACACCAAAAAATCTATACCCAAGAAATTATTCTCATTTAAATATAAGCCTAATAAGATAACATAAAATATATAAAGATTACCCCAGTGAGTATATAAGCGGGGCTTTCTGCGGCGCTTATTGTGGCAGGCAAGACGCTTCCGACAACTGCGTTTATCATCATCAAATTCTGCTAACAAATGAAACCTGCATGCAACAATAATTATATAATCCATCCACTAGTTAATGTAAAGCTTTATATTTTGTCATTTATTTATATTTGAGAAAGAATTGATATTTCAAAAATACCACGTCAAATTATATATATTCTAATTATAATTATAATTTAATGTCTATCATATTTTTCCTGTCGATCCATAGAATCAACAACCACTAAGGCAATCGGATCTATACCCATGAGAGGGTGTGTTGAGATTAAGTAATTATTATTATGTCAAAAATTATAATGAGACACAATTTTTTTTTTTCTAACCTAACAGTCAACCCATACTTAAATTTTATTTATTTATTTATTTATTTTTGGAAACCATATAGAATTTAAGAGTGTGAGGATATTGCATGTGTGTAAATAGTCTAATGAATGAAACATAGGAATGAATTATATGAATAAAATAGTATACATTACTTAATTTTCTTGAGATACCTAATCATTTTCATTACTATAGATTTGATTGGAAAGATATCCAAGCGCAAAAGCAAATATAGTATAAAATACAAGTAAACTTTTATGATGTTGATGATACTAGTATTGGTATATGATTGTACAATTAAATATATGATCGAATTTATCCCTGCAATACTCTTGTACTTTCAAAAGTGAGTCTAGCTTATTTTTACATTACTAAATTTATAAATATTTACTTTTTTCTCTACATCTCTGTAATACTTTTTCACTTAAAGGAACCGCACTTTCATATCACATCAAAACAAAAATAAAAAATAAAAATGAAATAAAGTACAAAAGGCTGCCCTAGCTTAGGGTTGCACCCATCTCATATATTTTTTTAAAAAAAATTAAATCATTTTTCTCTGATCTCTCGCCATGTAAACTTGCAAGACATTGTTTTTGAGGGATAATTCTAACCTAATATATGTAATTGTACCGAGTACTATTGGCACATATGTCCACTGGGATTGCAGAAAAAACAATATAATAATAAAGTACACATATATACCTGCTACATTGCTGGCAAAATCTCTGCTCAACACCATGAAGAATGGTTTTGGTGGTTTTGGAGTGGTCCACACAGACTCTATGCCTCTGGTGATAGTATTTGGAGGAACTAAGATCCATTTCACACCCATCAACTTGGCAGATAATTGGGACTTGACAAGAATTATAATATTCAACCATCATCTTCTCCTTCTTAGCTGAGGCAGATTGCCCACTACTCTCCAATCCTCCATAGCCATTGTAGCATTCAATTGCAGGTATTCTTTTCCAGTTGTTTCCATTCATATCATCATCAGAGAACATCATCATTTTACTAGTAAAATTACCATTATTAATAGTAAAATTGTTGTCAGTGTTACTGTTGTTGTTTGTCCATAGTTCCATGAAGTCTGCACCTTCATTAATTTCCTCAAAACTAGGGGCAATAATCATGTTTTTATCAAAATCAGAAAATGTGTTTACTTCCACACCATACTCCGAGAACAATAGGCTTCCTTCATTATCCAAACCATGGCTCCAAGGCTCCATTGTTGGCTTGCTGAAGTTGCAGAAAACCTAGTTTTCTGAGCTATCACCACAAGGAAGAAGAAAGGACAAAAGAAAAGCAAAACAGAAGATGCCATTAGTTGATTGTTCTTCATAACATGAAACATAAATTCAAGAACAATTAACCACAATCAAAGATGACCCCAGTCAAGTTGGTCAGACTCTTGACCTAGCTAATAACTATAGTTACAAGTTCGACTCCCTAATCTTATCGGTTAGGTTCACAAGACACGATTTAATAGTGTACTCTCTGATAGTGGCTACGGGTTAGGTTTCTCTTGTAACCCAAAAGAAAAAAGAAGAAGAACAATCCACCTGGGAATGTTGAAGATGAAAAAGGCAAAACATAATAATGAATCATTGTAAGATGTACGGTGGTATATAGTACTGTACAACAATAAATGAAGTACGAAAATGGAAGAATATGTTTTCATTCGTGCTTACCAGAGAGGCAGCTGAAGAAGACAATTAAGAAAGGTGATAAGATTGAGGTATGGTGTTTCAAGGTGATAAATTATGTATGGTGCCTTAAACTTGTGTTTATGGTGTTTAAGTACAAGGATTATTAAGACAGATAACATGGTAATCACGGCGTACTACAAAAGACACGAGGAGATCAAGGTTTTTTTTTTTTTTTTTTTTTTTTTTTTTTTTTTTTTTTTTTTTTAATATAATTTAAATTTTAAATAATCCTTTGTAAATTTTTATTTCATAGTCATATGTGGAGAGTTATGCACCTTCCATTTCTTGTCAAGGGGTTTTGTTCTCTAAATGTGATGTTTGGTTGGATGAAAATATTTTTTCAAGTTAAAAAGTTTTCCTTAAATTTGAGAAAATAATTTCTTTTATTCGTTTGGTTTATAGAAAACTTTTTTCCGCGGGAAAATATTCTCCTCGGAAAAAAGTTTTTCAAAGCTCAACCTTGGTATTTTGTTTTTCATGGACATTGAAAACAATTTTTACTTGATAGGATTATTTTGACCTTATAAAATTCTTAATTACCTTAGATCAAAATCTGTATAATAATTTTTATTATAATATTATAATAAAATATATAATTATAATATTTTAATTTATAATATTCAACAACTCCCATATTTTAAAATGTACAATCATCTTTAATATTAATATTCTATCACATTATGTTAGCCATAAGTTACATGTATACATGCATTCATGGTCTAGGGTTGTTAAACATTAGTAGGTTGCAAGTTTTCAGTAACAAGGAGTATCCTAGAATCACCAAGTTGAGTGACCAAAGGGGAAAAATGGTAATATTGGTCCCGGCAAAAAAGTCTAGAAAGAGGGAGGGGTGGGTTGAATAGACTTTCTAATATTTTTGTAAACTTTTCAAAATTGCTTTAAGCGAGCTTGAATTTTGAAATAATAAAGTTGACTTGATCTCGGGCAAGCTAAAAGTCTAGATTTAGGGGGGGGAGGGGTGGGGGGGGGGGTGGAGGGGGTTGAATAGACTTTCTAATCTGTTTGCAACTTTTTCAAAATAGCTCTAAGCTAGTGAGCTTTAATTTTGAAACCAGAGTTTTTAAACAAAGCTTGGAAATGAGTTTCCTCGTAGCGGAATCTTTAGCTTGCCTTAAAAAGAGTAACTAGGTTTTGAACGAATTGCTTGATTTAGTGTGTGTAAGTATGGGGTTAGTTTGCAAGTTAATAAGCAAATAAGTGTGTAAAGATAAATGACAAATATTTTTATAGTGGTTCGAAAACTTTCATACTCCACTCTTCTCTTTAACTCCAAGGAGGTTCCAAAAAGATGGATGGGAAGAACGAAAGGAGTGTTTAGTATGAGTCAAGCGAAACACTCTTTCCTTAAAATTAAACCTTATTTGTCACCTCCCACAAGTGCGTAGCCACCTTAGACTACTTGAACCAAGCCATCCCCCTGCACGAGAGAAAACCTCTATGCTATACAATTCAATAAGTTTTAGAAGAGCTCTTGTATAATTAGTGGTGCAAACCCACTTCCCAAACCAATGTGAGACAAAAGCTACTCTCAAGCTTTTTCCCTTAATTTTTCCAACTCAAATGGGTCTACTTTGAGAATCAATATCTCATTCACCCATTATCCGCTTTGAGCGTATAATATATCAATCTCTTCATCTCACTACGAAGAATCCGAATCCACTTTGACCCGACCCAAATCGGAAGTGGACTCAACTAATAATTGTACCACATAATATGCCATTTTAAGCTATTTTTTCCAACAGCCACAAAGTCACCTTACTCTTCGCTATCCAATCAAAGCTAGCCAATCGTCATCCACTACGTCGCCTTGCTAGGTTAATTGATCTCGCAACTCCTTATCATAGAAAGACGCTTGTTGGTTATTGAGTGTTGGACTTGGAAATCCCTCAGATTTCACTTCAACTTATGAGAGCTTGATTCAACTTGATCGCTTTGAAGACTTGCATTTAAAGTTTTTATCACACCGACCAACATCTTTTCTCTTAGCTTGGGGTCCTCCTTTTATAGACGAGGAGGGATGAGTGCTGCCATCTAATAACTTATGCAACTTATCCATAGAGTAATGACTGTTTCCCTATTTGGCTTATAAGAACTTTCAAAATTAAAAAAGAAATGTTATTGCTTATCATCAATCTGTCTCATCTACAGACTTCTAAGTGTCAGACAAGTTGCATCTTTCAAACGAATCTTTTTGTTTTTTTCCTTAAATAATTTCCTTCTAAAGTTGGTTTTTCTTAAAACAATTTTCAATGAATCTCCACATACATGGAATACAATGGGGATTCCCTTTCATCAATTAGGATGACTTGTCAAGACTTTTTCTGGTCTTGGACTTCTACCGATCCCCTTAGCTTCCTTCCGACTTGACTCTTTCCGCTTACTTCCTTCTAGATGCTTCTTTTTGATTAGTCCAACTACGAAGCTTATCTAATTTTACAACAAAGAATGAGGGGTGTAAATTGCTTATTCAATGCTCTTTAGTCTTTAAATCATTAAAATCTATTACAAATATTTTTGGTAGTAAAATGACCATAATGCCCCAACCACCTGCAGAATCCGTGATTCATGAGTTTTAACTTTCACTAAAAATAATGAATAATTATGCTTGGAGTTATAATTAATGTAATCATCATCATATTAGGAGAAGAAACCCCAACAACATGTGGAACAGCAAATTAGCAAAAACCTAATTAAGAAGCTGCAGAAACAAGCAATCCATGTAACTGTGCATTAAAATATAATGAAACATAAATCCAACCAAACACAAATGGCCGTACATCTAATGCAAATGATTAGATGTAATTAATAATTTCGATTACTGTGTGCATTTATATTATGTCCATATGACCAAATGAGTACATGCTGTAACCGACAACGTTATACCAATGATAGTTTTTATAGAGTTCTACTACATGTACTTTTTAATCTTCTTCTTTAAATTTTATTTTTTGATGTGGCGGATTCTGATAAGTTATTTTTTTTCATGTGGATCCCAATACAAGTGTAATATTTTGTATTTGGAAATACAAATTGGAAGTACAAAATGAGAGTACATGTAACATTTTCCGTTTTTATAAGATATTTGTTTGATACACATGTCATAACTATTTTACTACTCACTCCGTCCCATTTTACCTGTCTTACTTTCCTTTTTAATTTGTTCCAAAATAGTGTCATCTTTTCAAAATTGAACATAACTATCACTCTACATTTTCCAATTTACCCTTTTGACTTTTCAAACTTCTAGAGGTAAGTACAATTGTACTTTGTACAAATATCACCTACTTTTGAAGGGCAAAATTGAAAAGTTAGTAACATTTATTATGTTGTAGTAAAAATCATGCAAAAAGCAAGTAAGACATTCAATTAGGGACGGAGGGAGTATATAAAAAAGAATGTAAAAATGTCTCGCTCTATGCTAGATTGTGGGTAAGGATATAGGACAGTCGCAGTGTGAGAGTTACGTACCTAATCAATTGTTATATTATGTACTAAGGTCCACCTTGAATTATGGACTCTGATCCAACTTTTAGTCTTATGACTATTATTGGGTATTTTTAATTTGGATCCATGAGTTTAAAAGTTATCAATTTCAATCAACAACAACTGTTTAATTTTTGTCAATTTCTGTCCATCCGATCAAATTGTCGATGAGAAATAGCCAAAAACTTTTAATAACTAAAATGCAAAAACTTTTAATAACTAAAATGATGAGGACAAATTTATCTTTCGATTCTTCTCTTCTCTTTCTTCTCCATTTCTTGATCTGTAACTGCAGCTGGCTGCTGGCCATGGCTTGAACAACCCACCCAACCATAACTGTTTAGTGTTGTTTAAATCATTTAATTGTAAAAAGAAAACCAATGGTTTCCATAATCTTCTTTATGTGTTAAAGTACAGTGCAATTGGATGGATCCCCAAAGCCGAAACCATGAACACACTCAGGGACGGAGTCAAAAATTTAGTTGAGAGGAGACGAAGAAGTAGGGACAGATTCAGATTTTTTTTTTCAGTAAAGGCGAAACATTAAAACAAAGGAGATAATTAAAAAAAACACACCTCATTATTAATATAAAAGAATGTTATATATATGTGTGTATGCATTAAATATTAAAAAGCTATTAAAAATGTGACTGTGTTGAAACCATAGGGAAGGAGTAAAAAAAAATGTTGAAGCCAACTATAAAAATATGTTACTACCAAGATTTGAACTCCTACCCATTATCGCTTTACCAACTCATCTAAACCACCTCTTGTTTATATTTTTTTTTTTTTTGAATGCTACTAGCTCTATTACATTGTAGTATCTGTTCATATACTTTCTCACCCTATTGAAACACAAAGAGCTAATAATGCCTCCACTGAGGCTTGAACTCACAACCTTCCAAATGGAAGTCCAACCCGGGTACCATTGGACCACATAGTCCTGGTCCTCTTGTTTATATTTAATAGTTTTATTTTACTAATACTAACACATATACTATATATACATATATACA